AGACGTGTACACGTGTTTACTTCATTTGTTCTTGCACATTTTTGGCAATTTTTAATATATGTTCTTATTGTTTTTGCCTATTTATTTATAGCTACTGTATTTACAACAGTTATTTTGGTTACTTTTATTTATTTAATTTTTATATATATTTATATCAGATTTGCGTCCATGTTAAGCTAACCGTTTCGGACCTTTATCATGCTTTTTTGGTGTCTTAAAGAGGAAAGTAATACCTAAAGGGATACAAATAAATTAAATAAATGCAAAAAAAAAGATGGGGAGAAAATAAAAATAATTGTACTACCTAGTAAATAAATAGAAAATAAAAATTTGACTGTACGAGGTCTGTTTGAAAAATATAGGTCTTGGTAAAAAGTAATCCATTATTTTTGCAATAGTTATTGAAATTATTGATGTTTCTATAGTGCGACTCGTTTAAGCTAGACTGCGTAATCGATTCGGACACCGCAGAAGCTCCGATAGCTTGGTTGAAAGGTTCTTTGGAAGAGCATCGCTCAGAAATTAATTAAAAGACTCATAATTGGTAACGTATCTTGAGTACGAGTATATGCCTATGACAGCAAAGCTATTGAAGGATGGACCAAGACATCCAATACCGAAATAATTGATGCCAAACTTGATACATTCTCAAAGTTTAATTCATACAAAAAAATAGAGAAGGCGAAATAAAGATTTCGAACATATATTTTGAGCACACCTCGTATCAGTATATAAAATATTCTTTACCTTGGGCGCTAGGAAAGTTCTTATTTTCACCTGAAGCAGTCTTTTGCTGGCATACAAATAATAGTCAGCAAATTTATTTTGTTGGAAATATATATATTTTTTGGATATTTGTGTCATATTTACCGTAAAAGGGCACCGTTGCCACTTTGGCATGTATGTAAGTGAGTAAGTTTGTATGTACTATATGAGGACTTGCATTTAAATATGCATTTAGGGTATTTGTAAAATATGGAAATGTATTGACACACATACATATGTATGTACGTAAATATAAAAAATAGAAAGGGCAATAATCAGTTACATTTTATTTAATAGCAAAAAATGTGGAATTATACAAACATACTACATTTATTTTTCGAAACCAAATATATGTATGTAATATTCAAATAAATTTGACTTGAACTAAATTTGCAAAGGACTTTTCCCAAACTATTCGATCTGATTAAAAGTGAAAGCTTTTTCTCATCGAACTAAACTGGAAAATAGAATAAGTGGAAATATAAATTACCCGCAGAAACTCTTATGAGAGCCTAACTTTTCAGTTACAAGGCAACTTTTATAAAACTACAAAAGAACTTTTGAAAAAATTGAAATTCAATTTCTAATATTTTGCCTAATGCGATGATTAAATGTTAAAGATGTAGAAATCATTCGCAAAATATAGAAATTAATGGCAATGGACGGAAGTAAAAGGTCTTCAATAATCCTTTTTGACCACAAAATAAGTTAAATATTAAATTTCAAAAAAAAATGCTACACGTCGCCGATTTGGGGCTAAAAAGTTTGAAAAATCTTGCTACTGAAATAAAAAAGAATTACATTATTAAAGCAATAAAACCGATGTGACTTCTGTCTACACCTTCTCAAAAATTCGAATCATTACGTGTGTCTCATAAAAGCAACGAGATTACCAAGATCTACTGAAGCAAGCTCAGCCAGACAGCCAAAGAGTGTCTCCCGAAGAATTTGTGCCACAGTGAAGTCAGTGCTGGACAGTGACAGTAGTAGTGTTTAATGGACTCTTCCACCAATTCGTCCCTGCAGCTGCGTCAAATATTATAATAGCGTTAACTAATTTTTTCCCCACGAAGCCCTATTAAATAGTTACCTGTTGTTGCATCTGTCGTCATTCTAATGGAGAACTGGTTTAGGTGGATGAAAAATGTCTTGATATTTTCGAGTCAAGATTCGTCCATAGGCATGGTGCGTTGCACGTGATAGTTTTCAGCCATCTTGTATTTGCTTTTTTCGGCGAAGGCCAGTTTAGCTTGGTTTATTGTAAAAAGAGAAGTTCCTTTTCTTGCAAGTGCGACTCCCGTGCAATTTCCTGGAATGTCCCTGAGCTCGAGAGTTTATTGAGACTGCAGCCGCAATAGCCGAGTGGTTACTCATTAACCCCTGCGTGTTAGGGGCTCAAGAATTTACCCGTGGTAAGGTATGCATGTCATAAGAGGCGACTAAAATCCAATAGTTCTCGCGAGAGTCGGGTCTTTATACCGGAACGACCCGGATTTTTATCCGGCCAAGGACTGTCACTTCCGCAATATTCCTCGAAAACCAATTTCGGGGAATAATTTGCGGTTACAACAACAACAGTGGTTACTCATTATAGATGATTGCAAAGAGTTTGGCTTGGAATACAATAGATGTAGTGATTTGATAGTTTCTTGCTCATATTTATTAAGAGAATTGGATAGTGGATTTTATGTCCACTTTTTCATCGAGATTTGAGCCATCAAAGATGGTATGACTCATTCATTGATTCATTTTCCCATTCGTTTCTGTTTGGATATAATATTTTAGCGTGTTCTATACTGCAAAACATTCACGAGTGAGTTGCGTACAATCTGAGTGGGTTGCAGCTTTCTGGAAATTTGTCATACAGGTTGAGAGGAAATAAGTTAAGGAAAGTTAACAGTGCCCTTAAGGCAGTCGATGGTGGGACTTATGTTAAAAAGATAGCTGTCGCCCATTGCACTCACTTTAGTTTAGCTACTGAAAGTAATTTTCTTGAGTGCCTACCATCATAGGGCGCCATCACAGAATACCGCTGTTTAAATCTAATACACAGTAATCGATTTCAGATGCCATACTTTTCCTATCTGCATTTTGTAAGTGTAAAGTACAGTTATAACCATACTCTACCTTTCCACGGTATTCCCGCTCCAGTTGAGTTTGCTACCTAAGATTACACCGAGATATTTGACAACGGTAGAGAGCATGATATTCACGGTCTTTAGTAGCAGTGACCGTTTGACCTTCCATCAGTTCCCTACTACGTATAGTGCGTTTTGAAGCATATCGATTAAAGGTTTGGGTGTTTACCTGCCGCTATTAGGAAAAACTGGAGTGCATATGCCACCACATCACAGCCTGTGCCAATAGCTGAACTAACAGAATTATTTGTAGTCAAGCAAAAAGTTTTAAGCAATTCTTCGCATTTTTCTCTGATATGTAAATCAGTAGAAAACTCAGTTTCACCGATATGGTGTATTCATTGAATGCTAAACAAAAGTGATCTGGGTTTGTGTTTGGGATTTTTAGTAAATTATTTTTTTGTTTATATTTTTTTTTTTCAAAAATATTAAACTATCATTTTTGAGACTAATTTCATTATCGATATTTTTTAATATATTTGAAAATTTTTGTTCTTGTGTATAATATCACAAAATCAATTTTTCTGATCACAAATATAATTTTATGTTAGTGTCGGAAATAGTTTTATGCAAGATGAAAAATCTTTCATTTTTTTGCCCCAGATTTTGCTAAGCTTAAATTTAAAAAAATTAATAAAAAAAAGTAGTTTTCTTTTAAAAAATAATTTTTATATAATATGCATAACCAACAAAATTAAAAGTGAGTAAAAATGACATTAAACAATTTAAAAGATTTCATTTTTATTTTCAATAAAAAAAATCATTAATTTAATGAATATATTTATTATGTACGAATGTGAGTATATACACAAATTCAGAAAAATCATATAGAATATTTAATAAAATTAAGAATGACTGAACCGATTTGGCTCATTTATTTTTTAACTTCCTCATACGGCCTGAATTGTGGGCTAACATTTCATGACAATAATAATGATTTAAGACTATACACTTGTTCAATACCATCAATGAACCACCGTATTCACCGGATTTGGCCCCGTGAAACCCGTTTCGACTCGATTGAAACCGTAAAAGAAAATTTGCAGAAGGAACTGAGGTCGACTGTTTTCAACATCTGCAGGAAACAAACTTGTTTGACAGATTGCCGTAATTAAGGACAAGGACGGGAAGTTTAAATAACAATTTCCCGAGACTTTCTGATATATGAAAAATGTTACTCATGATTCCATTAAGTTGAAATTTTGAAGTTTATTTGTTTCTATCTAGATTACCAGGAGGCACACCTTTTGCTACATGCAGTGAATCTGGAAGCGATGTGTTTGAGGAAAATCGTGTAGAATATTTTTATAGAAATTAAAATAAAACTTATATTTAATGTTTTATTTACTTTAAATTCACTCGTAGAAAACTTTTCTCTCTCTTCCAGGCAGTGGTTCGTAAAAACAAGTATTTGTAATGCGATTTGCTTGAAATTCTTTTATTTCCGTAAGGCAGACCTGAATATAATATCATCGTAAAAAGCATATTTATTATTCTGTTCGCTAATTTTTTTTTAAGTAAATATAAAAGTGCTGATTTTACTGGAACTGGATCAGTTTAAAGTTACTCAAAATTTTATACGGAAGTAGCGTTTTCGAAAAGTTGAGCAGTGGCAGATCAAAATATCGTTTAATGCGCCTTAAAAACTTGAAGTAAAGCAATAATTTTAATGTTTAAATCATTACAATTTAGTTTAACTTTTTTTGTAAAATAATTTGTTTTAACGGTATTAACATAAAAAACATTTATTATGAAAACTAAGCTAATTGAAGTTTTGAGCTTAACCACTTAGTTTGTACTTAATATATTGTCCATTCCAGGACAGGAGCAAACAAAAGTATTGTTATTAAAAAAAAAAAAAAAAAATAATAATAATACAAAATAAAAACTTACTAACATAATTTATATTATAAAATTCTATATAGTTTCTTAATTAATTTTTTCAATTAAAAAGTAATTTTAAAACATTTTTAGCTATTCTCTTTTTTTTCAAATTTTAGCAAGTGTAGAATACTTAAAAAAAAAAAAAAATATTAGCTTTAACAGAATTTTTTTTACATGATTAATAAAATATATTATTACTTATTCACAACTTACGTTTTGCAAATCGATTTCAGGTGTTTTTGCTCAATTGGTCTCAAATTCCAACAGTAAAAAATATATATATTTTCAAAAAAATTTTTTTTATCTCCTTCCCACAGCCAATTATGCGACACTTTTAACACATATTTTATTGCTTTTTCACCAATTTCACACTTTCAAAACAAAATTTCATAATATTTTCGATGGGTACGCACATACATATATAAATTTGTAAAAAAAAAAGAAAAAACCCTCAGCACTTTCTTTTGTTTACAAAAGCATTGCGAAGGTGTAAAGTATAATAATATTCACGCAATGCAAATATGTGACGAATTGCCTGGCTGCCAATGAGAGTGTGGCTGCGTTGGCTGTTCGCTGGCTGTTGTACGGAGTAATCAGCAACAAATGGCCTACTACAGCTAACTGATGGTGTGTAGGGCGAGCGAGTTGTTGTTGGCAATAATTGTCATGCGACACAAAACACTTTCACAAAATTACGAAATTTTATGAGCGTAATTTCACTGCTTTTGCTTGATAAATTTTTTTTTTTGAACTTATTATTTTACTTAATTTCTTCGTTAAATTTTGCAATAATAACAGTGTAAATTGTAACGCACAAGTTTCATTTTCTGCTGAGAAATTTTCTTAACACTTACATATTTCCATGTAAATAAAATAAATTTTTCACTTTTTGGCTCCAATAGAAGCTTCACGGTAAAAAATTATAATTCTTCGAATTTTTGTTAATTTTATTTTCTTTAACTCGCACTTGTACTGATTTCTTCCTCATTTAATTGAATACAAACATATATACATGCATGTATATGTATATTCATGACATTCAAAGAAAAAATGATGCTGTTAATAATATTTAAGTAATTCACGCTAACTAAATGCGGTAAAGCGTTAAGTTCCGTTTTAAGATAGATAACTCGTAGAAGACGCGCACACGCGATGCCTCGAACGCAACGAACGTTACAATAATGAAATGAATTCTTAACTGAAAGCGCCATAGAACTGTCCTACACAACAACGACGTTGTCGTCGTCGTCGTCGTCGTCGTGCAAGCTGACGATGAAGATTCGTCGTCATCGTCGTCGTTGCCTGCTTCCCTCATCGGACTATCGATGCTTGTGCAGCGTCGTCACGTTCCATGCCGCAAACATTTTACTTATTGTTGTGGTTATACTCACAGTTATTGCTGTTATTGTTTTTGTTGTCTAAAGAATTAAAAGTTGCTAAGTAAATGCGGGAAAGAACGTAAATGGCTAAAGAGCAGCTCAGTTAGAGGCCAAGATTGTTGTTTAAATGACAGCGAAAACGTTGATGATGATACTGATGATGATGATGATGATGATGAAGAAAATGAAGAAGAACATATTGACGATGATGATAATAATGATTAAGACAAATACGATGACGACGACGACGACCACATTAGCTACGCCGGCAGCAATAACGAAAACGATAATACTTAATATACTCACAACTCTCACAGGTATGTATGTATGCATGTGTTTTTTGTGTACGTATATGCATGTGTTGCCGCACCGAAAGTCATCGCCAATTGTTTTTGTGTGGCGAAGCTTGTTATTTAAGTGCCGTACGCTTGTAGCGCAAAATGTTGACTAAATGTTATTAAACATCATTGATACTTCTACTTGCTGAAAAGCTGATCTCTGAAACGCAGTGTACGGCTGGTAGGTAGAGTGTGAGAGCAGGTTTAACAGTTTCGATTTTTAATGTTGCTAACAGCAACTGTACTGTACTGTTAAGTTTTGAGGATTATTTACCGAACGTTATATCATATAATAATGTACATTATAATTAAAATATTTTTAAGTTTTTAATTTATGTTTTTAATAAATATTGAATTTTTATATTCCGTCTTAATTTTTAGTTCATGACTCATACGTTTTTTTAGCTGATTTATTTTAAAATATATCAAATATAGTTTTAAATTCACATTTTATATGTACAATTTTTTTTCAATAATCTCATAATATTTATATTTGCAGTATTTTTTTCGAAAAATTTCGTGACAATTGTTTTTATTATTTCAACTTTTAGAAAAAACAATTAAATGTAACATTTAATAATAACTATTAACTATGTATAGTAACTATTTAACTAGCTTTTTTATTATAGTAATTTTATCTAAATTTTTTTATTCATAAAAATTACACAGTTATTTATTTTTATTGTTATAAACAGTTAAGGATTTTTAAAAAGAGTTGTAATTAAAAAAATTTTTAACTAAAAGCTGCTCATATAAATCCATCGGCTCTTTGGAGGAGGCATAGAATAAACAAGATGTGAAACCACAAATCAGAGAAGAAACATTACCAAGAACTTTAGAATATTTTGTAAAATGCTTTATTCTGAAATAAATTTGGGTATTGACGGAAATGTGTAAAGAATTTTTGCATAGAATTGTTCAAATAAAAAAAATTAAAATAAAAAAAAACATAAATAGTTAATATTGACAGAACTACTGTCATTTTTGTATTTCAGTAGTAAAATGGTATATATTAATAACCCTGTACAACGCTCGTACATAATTTTAGTATATTAAAAGTCTCATATTTTTAAATTAAATAATAATTGAAAATTTTATATTTTTGTTTTATCAATTAATATTTTTTATATTAAGTTCTGCATTAAATTTTAGACTTTTGAAAAAATAAATAAAAAATAAAAAAGCATGATTTCTAATATGAAATACGCTTAAAACAGTGGCTATTTAGAAGTGTTGGTTTTAGCAGTGTTCGCTAACAGATAACAGCACACTGTAACGGTCGTTTAGGCACATGCAGAGTAACAGTGTTGCTTGCATTGCTGTTAGCAAGCAAAAATGAAATGTTAATACCAACCGTGTTGGTTTTCCTCTCTCTCACTCTGTGAGAACTAGACATTTGCCTCTGATCTTTTATTGAATTCATTTTTGGGTGCCATCAACAGACTGTTATTTTATACATTTTTGAGCAGTTTTTTCTGTACTACATACGTACACAGCTATGTACACAAATACTATTTACACAGCTTTTTCATCTACTCACTCGAAGAATATTTGCTTTTGCCAGCATTTTCACGGCTACAGTGTTACGCTATGACTTTCTCATACGATTTTTCCTCCATCGCTTACCTGCTGCTATACGGATTATTGCTTCGTTTGTTTTGACTCTAATTTCTAAGCAAATACACATATGTATGTAATTAACATATGAATGTATGTACATACGTAGGAGTATATTTTCTTATACTTATTTAGAGTCTTTGGTGACTTTATTGTTAGATGTAAAAAAATACCTAAACTTTTTTTTTGAGTTCAGTTTATTGTGTGTTTGTTATTTTTATAAATATGTATATATGTGTATGGCTATTTTTATAGATATTCTCACTTTTTTCTATTTCCTTCAGCTATTTTGAAGTGATCGCTGATAAAACTGATTTAATGACTTTTCTTTGGAAATGAATTTTTATGGACTGTGTTTTGTTTTGCTTTGTTTTAATAAACTTTTCGTCGCTTCTTGCATAGAAAATGAGTTTGTACCTTGCGCTGCTCTTGTTGGCACGTCCAGCTTGCTGATGATGATGTTGTTGGCGATGACGAAGACATTCTATGGGCTCTTAGTTTTTTTTATTTCAAATAAACACACTTATTTTAATAGTTTGTCATACACGAAGACACATTGTCAGCTTAATAGAGTTGAGATCTGATTAGAATTTATTCATAACAGTACATTTACGAGGCTGAATTTCACAGATTTCAGTTTAATGTTAATTATTTTCACCAACAGTTTTACAATTTTTTTTGTCGAAAATACATTCACTGCCCTTTCAACTTAATTATTTTAAATAAACTTAAAGGTTCATTAAAAAACTTACCTCGCTTGAAGTGTGAAAACTCACTAACCGTTTTGGGTGAAAAGTTGATTTATTTCATGCGCGTAATTTTATTTTTAATATTTTATTTAAGATTCAATTATCGTTCAAATATCTTAATTTAACATTTTATCCTTAAATAATTTATATATATTTATTTTTTTATAATATTTTTTATTTAAACTAATTTTGTTGTATATTATTATAATTTATTTTTGTATTTTACTTTATTTTAGTTTTTTTTATTTAAGCTTATAATATATAATTAAATTTTATTTTAATGCATTTTTGTTGTAATTTAATTAAGTTGACTTTATTTCATTCATTTTCTTTTATTTCATTTTATATTAATTCGTCTTATTTTATTTTATTTCTTTTATGTGATTTGTTTTGATTGGATTTGATTTGATTTGATTTAATTTAATATAATTGAGTTTAATGAATTTAATTCAATTTAATTTCATTTAAGTTTTTTTAATTTTATTTAATTTTTTTTTTAAATCAAATCAAATAAAATTTTCAATAATTTAGTTCTATTTAATATAATGCCATCTGATTAATTTAATTTTATTTTTATTTAATTTAAATTAATGTTATTTTAAGTCGTTTTAAGTTTATTTTATTTTATTTATTTTATTTTATATTATATAATTTTATTTGATTTTATTTTATTTTATTTTATTTATTTTATTTTATTTTATCTTATTTTATTTTATTTTATTTTATTTTATTTTATTTTATTTTATTTTATTTTATTTTATTTTATTTTATTTTATTTTATTTTATGTTATTTTATTTTTTTTATTGTATTTCATTTTTTATTTAATTTCATTTATTGTATTCAATTTAATTTAATTTTGTTATATTTTATGTTGTAGAATTTTTGTAAGTTTTACTTAATCGTATTATTTTTTATAAAAGCACATTTCAGGCGTTTCTTCGAATTTTGCCAAGGGTAAGAATGTGTTTGCTGCCATCTCTGCTATTGTTAGTCTTTATTCTTTTTTGTCTTGCTGTCTCTATTGTAAAATATTTACTACACTCATTTTATGGGATTTAACAGATTGAAATTTATTACATATGATATGTACTGAGTAAACATTCGATATGGTTTTATAACCAAACAGTTAGGTAGTAAGTTGTGAAGATGCTAACATACATACAAATGTACAAACGTTTGTGTATCTGTACATATGAGGTAAACTACAAAAGACTTAAGCAACGAACTTGATAGCGGCAAGCAAATAAACACTTCTCTCTGCCTTTTAGATGGCAACTTTGATAATAAAGAACAAAATTAATACGATA